AGGTTTACAATTTATGATTAAAACTCTATCTATACAATATACATAGACATAAAATGTAAAAACTTAAATATCTTAGAAACAGTAGCCAATCAGTTGTTTTAATTGTCATATTTGAATTCAGCACATCAAAATACATAATAAATAGCACATTTTCTCTCTGAAGCAGACGACTTCTCAAAAATTGTAGACCAGTAGACCATTGGCACAAAATATGCCTTATGAGGTATCATTTGAAAACTAATAACTCACTCATTAATATTCTTGCATGATGTAAGTATGCAATGGGTATTAAGAATTATGAATCTATGCTGCAATTATAACTAAGAGTGTAAACCAGGTGTGTGGGGGAGTTGTTAAACAGGGGATCCTGAACAAAGGAATTTGTGTTTCCATCAATTTACATATAAGCAGTAAATAGGCCTATCAAGCCAACAAGAGGTGGAGGAAAACACATTTAACAAGTGGGGATGAAGACAGGATGGTGTCTATACCCTGCAGAAGAGAGAAGCTTGGTCTGGGTTTTACTTTTCAGAAGAATCCATTTCAAAGGTTTACTAGCCTATAAGACAGGGGAGCTGTACCTCAAGTGATAAGCAATTGAATCAACCAATTGAATGCAATATTAATGCATCATGTAAGGTCTTTTATGAATGCATGCCCAGATAGGAGGGACTGTCACAGCTGTCAGCCTGTCCCTATGTAAATTAAGCATGGTGGAATCAAACAATAGAAGCCCACAGGAAGGGAAGAACAGTATGAGGTCATCCTGCCTCTTGAAACAAGTTCATTGGACTTTGGAAGATAGAGTAAAGATGGAAACCATCTTTGGCATCCACCACTAGACGGACACAAGAGGCCAGAGTTCTTGCAAGCTGAGAAAGATGGGTCTTAAAACCAAGGCGGGGGGGGTTGGAACTGAATATAAGTGGAAAACCTGCTTAGGCAAAGATCTTTAATCTAATAAGACAAGGGAAGCCAATGCCTTGTATTTTTGTGGAAGGTCCTGACTGAGGGAAAGTCAGCCAAGACTTGAAGAAGGATTGGTTAGCATAGGTGCTGGAAATATAGGGGGTGGGGGTGCTGCAGCAACCCCTCGCTTGAAGTAGCTTCCATTATAAACAGGGTTTACAGTTTGGTTCAATGGCTCTCAGCATCCCTACTATAAATTGTTCCAGCACCCCTGCTAGTGAGAGAAACTATATTGAATAAAGCCTGTATCTTGCTAGATTAAGTTTTAGGCTTTTAGAAGCATATTTAGTTTTGTTTTACTTGTGTAACTATTTCTATCTTCTCTCCTTATATTTGAACTCACTTAACCTATGTTGTTTTGTTAATTTTTTTCATTTTTACTCAGTGCTGTGTTTAAAGGGAAGTGTATATTTACCCTGGTTAGCTTAATAAACTGTGATGTTGTTTTGTGTATTTAGAGGAATAAACAAACAATATTATTTCTCTGAACTGTCCAGAAGAAGGCTGGACATTGCAAGGCACACGGTTTTGGGAAAACTTGGGACTGGGAGTGTGCTGGGGTCACCCTGCAAGTAGTAACCAAGACTGGTGGAAGCCAGAGTGAGGCTATTGACAGGTTGCTGGGGTCAGAGCTGCTGAACCAGGACGGTCTAGCACACAGACAATCTGGGTGTGATCTGCATGCTGGTAGGCTAGTTTTGAGTGGCCCAGGTTGGAAGTTACAACAAGAAAGCATTGTGAGGCACCCAAGGTTACAGGGCAGGTAGTGACAACTCCTCACCGGTCCAGATTGCACCCTAGAATGTGACAATGGTATCCTTTTAATTGTATTGGGAAATTTACATTATTTCATATGTAAAGCTATGACCAAGAATACTCCCATGTCAGTGCAAAGCTAGTTGTTTTTAGGAAATAAGCCTTAGGGTGTGCTGATCTAACTAGTAATCACTATTTTTTGTTGATGTTTTTGATAAGGTTGTAGTCAAAACAAAAACAGAATATGAACCTGATCGCAAGAAAGGAAAATTTCGTACCCCCAAGATAGCTGAATTCACAATCAGCATCACTGAAGGAGTTTCGGAAAGATTTAAGGTAAGCAAAGCTATCTATGCTGTTAATAACTCAATTGCTGTTACAGAACAACACTCAATCAATTACCAACTGTAGTCAAAGAAAACTGGATTTAAAGAACAAGATCTGGCAGAAAATTAAAACAAAATTGAGTGCAATTACAGTATCTCGTCATTAGTAATAAGGACTGCAAGAGTTGGTCCTAACATGCAGGTACTTCACTCCTTACTTTGACAAAAATCCCATTGAAGTTTCAGTCAATGGAAGTTCAGCATGATTAAGTGGCGAGTATCTTATAGACATGTAACTCCCATTATGTGACTAATACTCCCATTAGCTTTAGAGGAGAAGTACTATACAGGCATGCACTTTCTTTTTTGCTTGCCTTTTTTTTTTTTTTTACCCTTTTTTCCCAATATTTTTCCTTGTAATGGTTGATGGTTTTGAATGCACTGAGTGATTTGATGGCTTAGAGAATTAGTAACAGAGCTGTTTGCCACCAGCTTACTGGTTCAAATTTATTCCCTAGTATGGTGATGTATAAAAACTGTTACCATTTGATGCCTGTTCAGTGAAAGTGGGGGTTCTAAGTCCATTCCTTGGTGAAAATGTGTCCACGTCGTAGTAACTCCCTTTGTAGGTACTCTGACAGAGACTAGGGTTACCATTCGTCCGGATTCTGCCGGACATGTCCGGCTTTTTTGAGTTAAAAATAGTGTCCGGGGGGAATTTGTAAATGTCCGGATTTCCCCCCATGCAGAGCGCGCGCAGCTGACAGGGTAGCCGGCCGGATCATGCCACTCGCACGGGGCTCTAGAGCCCCTCCTCCACTTCCCCCTCCTCTCCCCTGCAACTTGAGATCACTCCCATCCCCTCCTCTCTCTCCCTCTCTCTCCCTCCCTCCCCCTCCCTGCATTCGCAGATTGCCGGCCGGCCGATCGCCTCGGGCCTCCAGCAGTCTGGAGCTCCTCCCCCTGCTCCCCCTCCCCTGCTGCCCAGCGCACTGCTCCGCAGCACTCTGTTCTGAGCGGCATGGTAAGGGGGCCAGGGGGTCAGAGAAGGGCAGAGAGGTTCTGGAGGGGGCAGTCAAGAGACAGGGAGTCAGGGTTGGATGGGTCGGGAGTTGGGGGGGGGCTGGTCTGGGGGTTGGGGGTGTAAGGTTTTGGGCAGTCAGGG